TTTTTTTTTTTTGTTTCTGCTAATTTTGCTAAAATCATTGTTGTGCAGTAGATACAAGAACACTGACAATGAGTGCAAGTTATCCACATTCTGGTGCCACATACAGTGGATATTTGATGAAGAAAGGCGCCACTTTCAAAATGTGGAAGCCTCGCTGGTTTGTTTTGGACTCAAGTAGACACCAGGTATAACTTTGCACACTTTGCTGTCATTTAATTTACATTTGTGATTTTGGGTCTGTTTTCCTTCTTCCAGCATGCGTAATTGCTATTTTTTAGCTGAGATATTACGAAAGTGAAACGGATGTGAACTGTCGTGGTGTCATTGACTTAGCCGATGTCAAGTCCGTTGAAGTAGCGCCTAGCCATGCGTTACGAAAGCCTCTTCTTGAGGTATGCTTTCAAGCAGTAAAATTACTGCAGAATGATTAGGTGGCATCATTAAAAAAATGCACCAGTACGTTTGGTAGTGTAAAATTGATTAACGACAAATGGGTGGGTATAGCGTTGTGTACGGATAGACATTTGTAATATTAAGTAAAGACTTTTAAACGTTATGATTTTTTGAGGTTCGCACCTCGCGACGAGTCTATTCTTTGCTTGCCGATACCAAATCAGATGCTGATCTGTGGCTGGAGAAAATTTTGGCTGCTCTTCACGATTGACAGTAGTTGCGTGAAATTATTGCTATTGTTTATTCTGAAAGCCAGGTGGAAAACGGCCTGTCACTCATTCCCATTTTTTTCCATTGGCAGAATGCCAAAACTGCCCAAAGAGGAAAAAATTAACTGAGATACAAAAAGATGTTCTTAAAAAAAACCAAGCAATTCAACCTGTAGTCAAACGGCTAAAAAAAATACGAGCATGGATGCTTCTTTTTCGTGCTGCATTTTTAACTAGAAGTCTTCGAAAGTTGTTTTTGCTGTCGTTTTTTTGACGATTAGATGCATCCCCATTCACTGTGTCGCATTTGTGAATTAGATTTTAGAGTTATAAGTGCATTTATTATGTAGGAACCCTTTTTTTGTTTGCTATTTTGTATTTTTAAAAGCAGTATTCTTAATTGAAATGCATGTATTCATTATTGTATTAAAGTAATTATATCGTTTTCGTTGTGTGCATTAAGTTAGGCGTCCCCAAAGTTTTTCGCATTGTTATGTTGTTATTGTTTCATGTATGCCACGCATTTAGAATTCCCCTGTAGAATCTGTGGCTGTAAAATTACCAATATTGCTCAGTGGTCGATGTGGTAGGGCAGCTTTGTTACTCAGCTGATTTAGATGCCGAATGAAGAGTAATGCTACTGCTTTTTTTTTTTTTTTTTTAAGCTGCAGATTTGTCCAGTAAGCTCTATGTAAAACAGTTATTTTCGATCGTTGAAAAAGTAGAGTCAAGCTGAATCGATATCTGATTTAGATAGTTATTAACGAAGCACTGTTGTGTGTTGCTGGCTAAATAATTTAATGTTTCTGTTGAATATTGCAGTGTTCTCTTCATCGTTGCTGGGAAATGAAATTAAAAAGCATTTATACTGAATTCTTTTTGTCTTTCACAGGAAATGCATCCCTCTCCACAGGCACACTGATGCATTTAAACCAGGTTTTTTATAACTTCGCCATACGCTTATCATGGAGGGTGTGCAGTCAGCATGCGGCAGAAATCAGGGAACCTCATTCATAGAAGTGTCAACGTCCTTCCGATTCCGGATTGACCCACGTGGATGTATGGTTCGCTGCACTTTATTACACATGAGCAATTTTAGACTTATTGCAAGCACTTCGCCAAATGAAAATCAGTTTTTTGGCTTGGCTTAGTAATTTTATGTTAGGTATGCTTTCAAATGGAGTTTGATTCCACTGCAAGGAATTGACTGTAAAAAGACTGCTTCAGTACATAAGCGAAGTTCGGATTCTCGAATTTTTTGAAAGCGTGAGAAAAGCAGTGTATTTTAGTTGTTGTTTCTTGCTCTTAGATCCAGAATTTTTTTTATTTGAGAATCAAAATAAATCATTAGCAGACAGTTAATGCTGCAGTTGATATTTGTTTTAAATTTGCTACATATCCAGTGCTGATTTAGAGCAGCACGGATGGCGAGATGATTGCACCGGCAAGCGCAGTGAGCGACATTTACGACCCAATTGCATTTGTCTCCAGCTGAAAATGTAACGCAAAAGAGAACCTCTGGTATTGGAAGCTTAGTATTTGTCAGAATTCTAGCTATATGTGTCTCTGGCGGCACTAATTTCGAATGTCTGAGGCTTCTGGGAAGTTTGAGTGGGGAGTTGCCTAGTGAACGTACTGGTTCGAAATTCTCCAGCTGTTGTATGCTTTTGGTGAGCACGGATAAGCTGTGGTTGCTGTAGGCTGCCTGATGAAACGTCATCCACTCTTCGAAATCATACTGACATAGAATCTTATTATCGCACAGATAGAATTTGTCGCCGACGCAAAACCTAAAGGTTTGTTAAATTTTACCCTTTTGGAGAAACCCTGTATATGAGTGCGATCAAATAGAGCAGTCTTGCATTCGGATTAAAAACTGTCAAAGATTTTGTCCGGCAACTAATCGAAACGAGATGGGAACTTGCAGCGGAGACTGCTCAGTTTTCT